GAGCAGAGAAGTTTTGAGCACCACCTTTTTCAGTAAAGAATTCTTCAAACACTTGATTTTTGAATTTAGAAAAGTTATCACTACGAACATTCCGAACAGGCATTTGCAATTGAAGCTCGATCTGCTTGATGAAATCCTTTAGCTTCACAGTGGCATCTGATATCTGTCTAAGAAAGTAAACCCAAGTAAATATTGAAAAATCATCAACTACAACTAGAATATACTTATTACCACCAATACTCTCAATAGCAGATGGGAGACAAAGATCAATGTTCTAGTGGTTCAATTACTTTGGTATTGATAATAATCGAGTGACTTTTACGACTTTGCATTCCTAGCTCGCAAGCAGCACACAAATGTTCCTTCTTAAACTTCAGAATAGGTAAGCCACGTACAAGATGGATAAGTACGAGTTTGTTTATGTCCTTGAAATTCAGATGCGAGAGCCTTCGGTGCCACAACCAACTATCATCCAAAAATGCTTTCGTAAGAAGGAAAATGGCTGGCTTCCCTTTGATCGGATTCAAATTCAAAGGATACATTTCGCCTTTTCTTTTGAATTTAAAAGCACTGCTTTTGTTTTCTTCTCAATAATCTCTGACCCCTTATCATCGAATGGTACTTTCAGCCCGGTACCTACAACCAATTGTGAAACGCTTATTAGATTATGTTGCAGGCCTTCCATATAAGCTACCTTCCGAATGGAGAATTAGCCATTCATAATCATGTCGTAGCCTTTAATTTCTCCTGCGGCGTTGTTTCCATACTTTACTCTGCGACCTTCCTCCAAAGATCGGAATTCCTTCAGTTCTTCTCTCCTTCCTGTCATTTGACACGAACAACCACTGTCGATGTACCATTCAGAGTCGTATTGTTCGTCACACATTACCTACAAAAATCAGAGAGATTTAGGAACCCAAACCTTCTTGGGTCCTTGTGAGGATTTCTTAAGAACAGGAAAAGTTACATTCATATCAACCCATAAGGTTCTTTTTAGCAAAACACTATTCTCTCCTTTGAATAATTTAAAAACCATCATTTTATTTTCACCAAGATTAATTTCAACTACATTTGATTTTCGTTGAATAAATTCTTTGTGTTTCTTAGCCATTCTCTTTGCAAATGCCTTGTCCTCCTTTTTCAAGTTAGCTTCGTATTCCTCGAGAGAAATCTCTGGTTCTGAAACAAATTTATTTTTTCCCTTAACATCTTTTGATGTGTTGACATATTTTGAAAGATTTATTTTCGGAGGACAACTGGATTTTGATTTTTCAACAGATTTTGAAACTTGAGGTTTTAAAACTTGTGGTTGTGAAACTTGTGTTTTTGAAAAAAGTTTAGCTTTCCGTTTCTGAATAGGAGAAGAGTTCGTATTTTCAACTGAAGATCTTTCTGAATTAACAAAATTTTATTGGAATTCTTGTTTTTCCATAACGTTTTCTTTCTTGCAAGTTCTTCCTATATCTAGCATTTAGTTGTCGTTTCTTAGCAATGAGTTCCTCAGCTGACTTATGAATGTTAGATCTAGGTTTCTCTTTTCTGATTGGAGTGTCAGTTTGTTCTGAAGAGATCTCACTCGAAATATCCTTCGTGCCACTTGTCCCTGCCTTATCGTAACAGTGATTTACACGATTTAGAGGTTCTGCAACATATCTCACTTTTGTTTTCCATGAGGTCATTTCGGAAAGACCTTTGGTTTCATCTGCATTGTCAATAGGTCCTGACCAAAATAGTTCTTTGCACCTATCTCCATTATCATTATCTACTAAGGAAATTAGTTCTGAAGTATCGTTTTTGTTCAGTCCTGTTTTTATGAAAACCTGATTCAGAACCGTTTTTACTTTCGGAAAAACTGTGGCTTTTGCTTTTAAAACATTTGAACCTTTATTTTCAACAACACGAACGTATTCAATTGAATTTTCAGAAATCAACTTTTTCTTTGGTTTAACCTTATTTTGTACAAACTCAGAACAATCAACCTCATCCTCTACAGAAATTTCACTCATGTCGCTTTCATCAAATTCAGAAACATTTTCAGCATCAAAAGTATTTTCCGAACTTAATTTTGTGCACAACGAGTCAAATTTTTGTACAATATTAGATTTAATTTGTTCTTTATCCTTATCATACAACATTTGTTCTAACATATTCCTGTGTTCTTTGGCCTGAATATAAGCTTCTATTTTGTCAAGCCTAATTTTATATGAATCAGAAACATCATCAGAGGACGCAATAGATTCACACTTATAGCACTCCGCATCGATTTCATCATCTTTCAATTCAAGAAAGGATAAAATCATTTTGTATATATTTTTACCTATTTCACAATCAAGATGTAATTGAGTAATATTGAAATATAAACGCTTAGCAATTAAACATAAAACATTTCTTTGTTTCAAAAGTGCTAATTGTCTCTCTTAAGATAAATGACATTATCCTTTGACCTAGTGAGCTCTAATTCCAACTTCTCCATCCACATTATTCTCTCTTCACTTTTATTTGTTACCCTGCTGATTTGATCACTTAGGTTAGAATTACTTAGACGTGTTCTCTTTAAACTATCACTTAAATTAGAGACAGTGTAATTTAAATTATCTAATTTGGATTCATAACAAGTAACTGGAATATTAAGAGATTGGAGTATAGAGTGTACCTTACTGATGACTTTCTCACATTCTTTCACCTGTTCAGAAACAGGCTTCGCAGTGAAACAGTTTTTAGAGGCCTTGTCGCTATCAGTCGCATAACCATTCTGTTCCGAGACCCCGCTCTGAATCATCAGGCATCTTCCTTTGTAATCTTGCGCTTCATACTTTGCCCCAAAACATCCACCATGCGTTGGCTTCCGAACCTCCTCATCTTCCGAATTTGTGGACCATACTTCAACACGTCCAAATTCGTCATCACCTTCCTGCACAATCAAAGCAGGCTTTACGTTCGCAACACTTTTCTTCCTAAGCTCCTCTATCTTTTGAAGATAGTAAGCTTCATCTTTTTTTGTTTCATTCTTTACACTCATCCTTCTCAACATACATTCTTTGGCAAAATGATTCTTGACATGGCAGTAGTTGCAGTCATACCCTGAATCCCCTAACAGTTTCTTCTCATGCTTATCTTCTTCCTTTTGAGAGTTCTTGAAGCTCTCTTATCTAGACCTCTCCAAACTGAAGTTTCCCTGTCTGTTCCTATTCTTGAATCGACCAAAGTTCTTTTTAATGAACTTTTTGGGATTAGACACCATCAGAGCATATTCCTCCTTGGTAAGTTCACTGTCCGAAAAGTCGGATTCAGAATCTTCTTCAACAACCTTTTTTCCCTTCGCAACCAAGGCCAATGAACCCATACTAGAGACAAGCTTTACATCCTCCGTCACTTCATCTTCGTGGGATCTTAAGATACCCATAAGCTTTTCCAGAGAGTAGCTCTTGAACTGTTCATGAGCTTTCACTGTAGACACAACCGCTTTCCATTCAGACCTTAACCCATTCATGAACGTAACTTTTTGCTCTATCTTTTCACGCCTGAGATTATGTTTAAGCATCCTGCTTAATAGATGATTAAACCGATTGAATGTCTGATCCAATTTTTCATCAAGCTTTTGAACAAAAGCTCCAAATTTCAGAAAGAAGCAACGTTTGCATGGATTTTTCGAAATCTGCATCACTTAAATAAAGCTCTATCAACCTATCCCATATCCCCTTCACCATTTCACATGGACTCACCGGACGAAAGGTGTCTGGAGGAAGATCGAACCTGATTATTATCATTGACTTGATGTTGCTCAACAACTTATCTTTTTTGTTTTGAGGAATATCTTTATTTTCAACAAGAATTGTGTTGTAGTCGGCTTGAGTCTTGACGACCTTCCTTGTAGCCGTGTGAGAGAATGTCTGCTGTGTCATGGCTTCCCATATTAGCGTGTCATGTTCTTTAAGACCAAGAACATAGTCTTCGAAGTGTAGTGCCAGACTTCATAATCCTGTGGAAAAAAGATTGGGATTCTGGTAGTAGATCCGATACTGCTTTAAAGATTAAAAGAAAGAGTATGAGGATCATCATGATTCATCTTCTCAAGAGTTCACATAAGTGAATATAGAATCAGATGTGTAATAATATGAATCGAGATCTAGGGTAAAACAAGAGATCAAGATCTGTTGCCTACAACCAATTGAAGCAGTTGAGACACCAACAACAGATCCAAGAAAAACAATAAACCCTAGTTGAAAAACTCGACAGAAGAGTAGCGATTGAACCACACTATCTCCCGCTCTGATACCATTTGTTGAAACAATAAAAACTTAGATCGATAGATTCTATAAATGATGTGAACAAAACAACATAAACGATGAAGATCAAATAGTGCTGAATGCTTAGATTGAATAGCTTTAGAAGAGTTCAACATGAACTTTTTTGTAAAATCTAAGTAGGGTAATACAATCGATAACCTTAAAACGATACATGCATGCACATTAAATAGTCTAATCCTAGAAAACCATAATCACAGATGGACAGGTCCAACCCGTTAATAAATGAGACTATTTAATTACAAAACATTTGACACAGCACACTAATAACCCAACGCCCTGCATTTATTTAGAATGTTAGTATGTATAAAAGGTAATTTATGTAAAAGGTAATTTGTGTATATGTACCTTGTGTCCATCTGACATAAATGTGATTCCATTACCATTTTCCCCTTCATCTATGTCTTCCATTAGATTGTCCAAGAACCACTTCCATGTACTCTTGTTCTCAACATTCACTACTGCGCAGGCTATTGGGTATATGTTATTGTTGCCATCCCTGCCTACTGCTGAGAGGAGCTCCCCTTTACATATGCCCTTCATAAAGCATCCATCTATCCTAATAACTTTCCTATACCCATCTAACCAGCCATCAATCCTTTAAAACTCACAGAATACCTTTCAAATACCACAAGAGAATTACTTTGGGGCTGCATATAAACTTCAACATGAGATCCTGGGTTGGCCCTTTTAATTTCAGCTCCATTTTCCCACAACTTGGAATAATGATCCTTCAAATCACCCACAATTTCACACAATGAAAATCTTTTTGCATGCCTACATTGTCCAACACTAACATTTATGTTGAATAACTTGGATACCATGGCTTTCATCTTCCTCAGACTCATTTTAGGGGAGTCCAATATATCAGTGGCAAACTGTTTCCCTATCCACTTGTAGGTAACAATTGACCCAAGTTTGAATGCCCTTGAGCAACTATAGTCTTCTCTAAGGGACTTTATTTGAAATGTTTGCTCATCTTTCATCCAGGAAGTCCACAGTCTAAAAGGGCATTGTGGTGTTTTTCCTTTACAACACTTTACAAGCAACCTATCCTTGTCATTCTTCTCATAATACAAGTCATATCCATGTACTACTGCATAGTTACTGAGAGACGACTTAAGTTCAACAGGAGAAGAGAATCTCATACCTAGTTCAGGCTTCATCTTCCTCCATTCTTGAGTAGCATCATGCCTAGGGTAGACATCTGGAAGTTCATTGACGTCTTCATCTTCTTCTGCAACAACTACTGGACATAACTTGTTCAAAAACTTATCATTGTAGGTTCTTTTGAATATTATTGTAGGTTCTTCTGAATACATAAGTTCTTCACTGTCTCGTTCTTCTTTCTGAATCCACTCAAATATAGGTTCATTATCGTGGTTAATATACACATCCACATGTTTGTGAGCATTTGCAACCTCAAGAAACTCAGAGTAGTCACATTCATTTTGTAGTGTTTGAAGCCCCTCACTCAATCTTGCTTTAGGTATATAGAAATACACATGCTTGCACTGAAAATCAATAAGCTTCTCAACATATTTGATGAAATCTGAAAAAATAAACTCGTTTGCATCTTCACTCAGTCGTAATACTCCTGGAGCAAAATACACTAATGGATTAGGCACAAAAGTACCATGATAGTGTACATCGACTTTTGAAAAAGCTTGATTTTCATCCATTCAATCAGAGTGGTGTTTTGAGAGAAGGGAAGGGTGAGTAATGAGGTACCGATCGAGAACGGAGGGTGAGAATAGAACCCTAATTGTTGTTCTTCATAAATGAGGGTGGAAGAGATTAATTCCACGTAATAGCCACGTAACTAAATTGATTTTTCTAAAAATCCCGTAAAACACAAAATGACCAGCTTAACCGGCATCAACTGGTAATAAGGATTTAACTTACACACAAAAACAAGTTCAAGGGGAAAATATGGATAAACAAAAGTCAGAGACTAAATATGTACAAACCCAATAATATGTTACCCTTTTAAGTCATTATTCTTAAATTATATTCCAGGTCCTTAAATTATCCTTAAAGTCATTACCCTTTTAAGTCATTATCCTTAAATTATATTCCAGGTCCTTGTAGTTTTTAATTGGACTAATATAATAAAAGCCCTAAATTTTTAACCCGTAATTGGAAAAAACCCTAATATTTTTTTTATTATTGCTATGGCCACAACTTTCTCGCAGAATTATCACGCTAGCCCATTTAACGAGTTTCATGGTTAACTTGGTTAATTTTTTTTTGCAAAATCAATCCCAAAAGTTCAAATTTGGTCCCTGAGGTTTGCAAAAAATTACACCACATGATGTGTTTTAACTTTATTTTTCGTTTTTTGTATACTTTATTTATTTTCGGTTTTTTTATAAATATATATACATTTTTTATTTTCGTTTTTGTATATACTCTATTTATTTTTATTTTTTAACTTTATTTTTCATCAATTTGATTTTTTTTTACCTTTTTACCTTTTATTTTCTATTTTTCAGTGTATATATAGAGTATATTAGAGTTTTTTTAGTTTTTTTTTCATATTACTTTTCGTATTATATTTTAATTTTTTCATCTTTTTTTTATTTTTTTCTTATTTATTTTCCAATTATTTGTTTTTATTTTTTTGTATTTTTAACTTTTTATTGACCTTTTTCAAAAAAATATAAAATGTATTAATATATTAGATTATATTACAATTTATATAATTTATAGTTTTTGTAATTTTTTTTATTTTTATTCAAGTAAATAAATTTGTTATGTTTATATTTATAATTTCGGTCCAACTTATTTTCTTTTTACTTTTTTTTCTTTAGTGCTATTATATTTATGTTACGAAAAAATGAAAATTAAAAAAAAATTATCTTGTTTATTGAGAATTAGTGTTTCAATGTGTTATATAACTTGGAAATTAAATCATATTTTTATATGTGATATCAATAATTTAAATTCAAGATAATATTTTTCAATTTGATAATAGACTAAAAGAAAATAATAATAATAATAATAATAATAATAATAATAATAATAATCGGCCTCTATAAAAAACTTGTTATAGTAATTTGTATTAAATTCGAGTTCGTTTACTTGAATCAAAATAAATAAAAACATTAGAAAAACCATAAATAACTAAGATAGAAAAAAATAGAAAACAAAAGGTATGAAAGGTAAAAAAATCAAATCGTTGAAAAATAAAGTTAAAAAATGAAAATAAATAAAGTATATACAAAAACGAAAATAAAAAATGTATATATATTTATAAAAAAACCGAAAATAAATAAAGTATACAAAAAACGAAAAATAAAGTTAAAACATCATGTGGTGTAATTTTTTGCAAACCTCAGGGACCAAATTTGAACTTTTGGGACTGATTTTGCAAAAAAATTAACCAAATTAATCATAAAACTCGTTACATGGGCTAGAGTGATAATTCTGCGAGAAAGTTGTGGCCATAGCAATAATAAAAAAAATATTAGGGTTTTTTCCAATTACGTGTTAAAAATTTAGGACTTTTATAATATTAGTTCTTTTTAATTTAAGTGTATTGCACTTTTGGTCTATATATTTTTTAATTTGATAGAACTTAGTGAATTAAACTTGTATATTATACATTTTAGGTCTATGTATTATTTATTTAGAAATATATTAAATTATAGTCTTGTGTTCGTCGTTTCTAATGTTTTGCATTTTAAGTATAAGTTTTGAAATTTTAAGTTTTAAATTTTTTTACAAAATTTTGATATATATGGTTTCTATTGTTGTGCATTTTAGTTTCAAATTTTAAAATTTATTCACGGATGGTCAATGTGGTTGGTAAAAATTGCATATTTAAGGGTTGTATAACACTTTTTTTAAGGATTACATATTAATGGATATTCAGCTCCATCAATACTTTTCACAAGGTTTATAGACATTGGTTTGTGGCAAAACCGTTGCTAAAACCATTAGAAACAGATTAATGATGGATTATCGACAAACCTATGCTACTAAATCTGTCACTGTTATAACGAAGGCTTGGCCATGACCTCCCTGTTTACTTGGCTTCTAAATAGAATATCAACTTATAAATAAACTTCCATCATTCAAAATTGTTTTTTCATTATCTACTTTAAAAAATATTTTTTTTATTAAATGTCACATTATTATTCTTTTTGCCACGTGTCATTTTGTGGTTATTTTAAATTAATTTTTTTTTATTTTTTATGTTTTTTTTTCATTTTATTAAATTCCACATAGTATTAAAATATAATAATTGTAATAAATGTAATAACAAATGTATATCAATTTTATTAATCTAACTTTCCTTCTGTTTCCAAAATTCTAAATTAAAGTCCAATTATTTCCTTTATTTATTTATTTGAATTATTTGTCTAAATTTAAAAGAGAAATGATCATTTCAATTTCAATAATTTAATATTTTTCTTAGTTTTCTTATAAATTCAAACTCTTAAATGTTTAGACCTTTATATTTAACTTTTCTTTTCATAAACTCATATAATACATGTGTCTCACAACTAGTTAATATAACTTTTGTTTATAGAATTACTAGGTAATAGCCCATGGAAACCACGATTACAAAAATAAATAATTTTTTAATAGTAAAAAGTCATAATTATTAATCAATTATTTTCAATAAATTATTAATTAAGATATTTAGATTATAACATATGGAAACCACGGTTACAAAAATAAATAAATTTTTATAGTAAAAGTCATAATTATTAATCTATTATTTTCAATAAATTATTAATTAAAATATTTATTTTTTTTATTTATGTAAAGTTATAATTGTTAATTCGAATAAAATTATAATTATTGATTACCAGATATTTTGATTTTCAAAATAGTAATAAATAATGCTAATTTTAAGGGATTTAAAAGAATTAAAATTTAACTATAAAACTATTGAAAAAGACATGTGTCATTTTTAGATAACGGGAGAAAAAATTAAAAATTATAAGAAAATGACAAGTGACACACAAACTATTCTTTTATTAGTATAGAGAGATTTTTCTTAAAGGTAATATAAATAGCTTTTTCAATGTATAAAAATACATATTTTCGTTGAAATAAATCAATAAATAATCTACAATAGAAAGTAGAAACTAAAATTATTTATCTATGAATGTATCAAATTAATTGTTTTTATAGGAAAAATAGCGTTAGATTTTTTTTTTGTGAACCGACAAATATTTATATTAAAAAGGACTGAACTAGCAAGGGGAAACAAAACAAATTATCCAACACTTACAAACAAGAAAATGGATTGTTGCACCAATCTATCCATACATAAGAACAATTTGACCTCCTGTGTTTGATCCATATAAACACCATGACCTTAACGTTATCCGCCACTTTTGTAGGTGTTATCCGGTTCTTTTCGAAACACCACGGACCGTAACAGATACTAATGATGCTTTTTCCTCCTTTTTGAACAACTATCCCATTACGAACAGAATTTCACCAAGTCGCCTATATTTCTAAGCTTAGGCTGAGGAATCCCACACCAGCGAAAGATCCACTCCCAATCTGTTGTCGCCATCGAGTACCAGATCAATATATTGTCCTCTCCTTCAATTTCACAGTATTTACAGAAGGCGGAGTTGAGGTTAATCCATCTTTTCTGTAATGCACATGTAGTTGGTATACCATTTAGAGTTTCCCTCCACATAAAGCATAACACCTTGATTGGGACCTCCTGAATCCAGTCAATGATCAATTCCTCATGTTTTTCCTTGACCCTATGATTTTTTCCCTCATCACATTTACATAGTATGTCCCATCACTGGATATGCTACAAGTCCACCGATCCTGTCTAGAGCTTGGCTGGAATTCTCTAATTTTTTATGCCAACTCCATGAGTTCGTGTGTTAACTCCATGAGATCGTGTGTTTGGGAAGTGGATGATGGGTTCGACTTCCAATCCCAAGTGACAACTCCATTGTTAATTCTTTCTCCAACTTTGCATTTTTTTTCTCTTCCCTAGCTTGTACAAATTAGGGAATAATACTTTAAGGGTATCATTGCCCAACCAAGTGTTATCTTCTTCCCCCAACCAGTTTTGTAAATATTTCATTGATATTGATTCCTTCTTTCAACATATCGTCTTTAACTTCTGCCACATTGTTCCAAACTCCTGTAATTGTCTTTTTTGATATGCAATCAGGAGCCTTGTTGTTGAGATTATGAATGCCAATAATAGCTTTACTCCATAAGATATTCCTATCAATTCTCAATCGCAACCACCACTTTGCAATTATTGACAAGTTTAGTGTTCGTAATGAACCCAAACCAAGACCGCCAACATCCTTTGGGGAGACGACCTTTCTCCAAGAGACCCAATTAATTTTATGTTCCCTCCCTCTTTCATGCCCTATAGGAATTTCCTTCTTATGCTTTCTAGAGAATTAATGACCCCGATAGGTGCTACAAATAGTGAAAAATAGTATGTAGGGAGGCTGCCAAGGACAACTTTGGTGAGTGTAAGTCGTCCTCTCATTGAGAGAGTCTTTGCCTTCCATGCAGATAGTTTAGACTAGAACCTCTCAATTACCGGCTTCCAATTTTTCTTTATGTTCATATTTGCTCTAACCGGTACTCCTAGGTAGTTGAACAGAAGTTTAGCTGGCTCACATCCAAGAGGGGTCGCATATCGTGTAACCTTTTGCATATCCACCCCAATTCC